ATATATATATATATTCAAATATATATATATATATATTTATATTAGTATAAACTTATAATTATTTCGGAAATTATTTCTTGAGAAATTATTTCTGAAATAATTTTTATCTTATCAGAGTACCTAATTTAATAATTATCTTATAATTAATTAATATTATGTAAATAAGAGTATAAATATAGATATATATTCTATATAAATTTAGATATATATGTATATATATATATATATGCATCTAAATATAAAAAATTCAAAAATAAGAAAATATATATCTATAAAAATATCTCTCTCTCTCTCTCTATATGCATATGCTATATACTTACACCTTTTTTGTATTTTTATATTTTTATAGATTTATATGCAATAGCTAAGGCTAAGTATTTATACCAATAGAATAGTGCTAGCGATATTACAGCATATAATAAAGTAAACAACAATACGGAGATATGCAATTTTGAAATCGCTTGATTGGTACGAAGGGACGACTTCACACAGATTCCCGGTGCGCAAGCAACCATACGCGGAAAACCAACAACACGACCAGGGACAGGGCAAGAGAACCAGAAAAACCAACAAAACCCAAAAAAAAAAAATAAAGTAAAAACAAGATTTAGGAACTCTCAGAAATATATATGGATGAGGCCAAACTCTCGAAACATTTTTTTTTTTTTCGGTTTTTTTGTTTGTATTAGTTTTTTTGTTCTTTTTTATTTTTTGGCTTTTATTTTTTAGCTTTATGGTTCTTTTGTATTTTTGTATTTTTCGTAGTTCTTGCATTTCTCTTTTCGGTGTCTGCATGGGCTACACTATCCGTCGATGTGGTTATTTATGATTTCTGACTGTATTTTGTGTATTTGGGAGCACGTAAAACACGCAAAAAGTGCTTTCTCACAGTGTCCCGTTTTGTATATATGTATATATATATATATATTTAGTTATTTCTGCTTGTTGCTTGTATATATATATTAAGTGTGCGTGTGTGTGTGTGATGTGTGATGTATGTGTGTAAGCGTATTGAGTGTTAACTGTATTGAGTTGTATTATGTATCTGTTGACGGCGAGGATGGTGAGGGTGGGGATAAAAATGGGGATGGGGGGTGAGGAAGAGGACCGTATTATACCGCAAGAACAATGATGCGTAGAAAAATGACCTCTCACAATCAGAACATACAAACTTAAAATAATTATTTTCATATAGTTTGATTTCGCAGTACATATATATATATATATGAAGTATATATATATATATATGTGTGTGTGTGTGTGTCTGTTATTGTCTTTTTCTACCTATCTATATCTATATCCGTATCTATATCTATGATATATATATATATATATTCTGTGCATACCTCAGCTGTTTTTAGCAAACAGACGAATATGCGCATCTAAGATATTGTCCGACCCGCTATTTTTTATGCTAACATGTCTTCTTTGTCGTTTATAGTTACGCTTCCAGCGAACTCCCAAATCATGCTTGTAACCGCCTCGCCTGGTCGAGAGTGCTCAAATTTGCAAAAACGATGCATCGCACAACGATCGCTTGGATGCATCTCCATCATCAACAGCCTGACGTGCAGACAATGGTACGATTCGGGCGCATGCGAGTGTGCCAATGTGGTGCAGGAAGCAAGAATCCTCAGCCGGCCTCTGCCGTGGACCGTCGCCTGAGCGCTCCCGACACTTCAACTTCTTGAAGTTCTCCTCGTTTTCCGTTGAAATTCTCCTTGTTTTCCGAAGAGATTCCTGTGCAAGAAAGAGTGCAGGGCATCAGCATCATTCGACCCAGCTGCAGAAATCGTCATGGCTTTTGTGTCCACCGCTTGCAATACAATGGCTAGTGCATGCAAACTGCCAACACGTTTGTCGTGCCAGCTGCCGGCTGGTTGCCCGACAATGGAGCGGAAGACGTGACCGCAAAGAGCGCAGTGAACCGATCTGAATATATAACTGGCACGCTCTCGTGCTCCAGCTGGCATGAATTATTCGTAAAGCTATAAGCGTAGAGCCAGAGCAATGGTGGCAAGACAGGCTTAGTGGCTTTCCACCGACTGCAAACAGCGCTTGCAAGGAAGAGGAGCTCTGGCCAAAACTGTTTCTGTGACGCTAGGCCGCTAGGATGCGAGGCTAGCTAACTGCGGCGCTGCAGGAATTGATGGATGCCTCACAGACACTCATAGATGATTCAACCGCCTAGAAAGTGCAGTAGTGGCGGGGAGGTAGCCCCAGCCCGACACCCTCACGGCCCGAGGAAGGGAAGTTTTGCAACACGAATGTAGGAAGTGAGTTTCCAGTCCAAAGCGGAAAGAAGGCATGAAGAAGGACAGGGCTCACTGCTGTGCAGGGGCGTAGGCTTATCTGTATTTACATGAATACATAAATCGATGTAGGTATATGTGTATTACGCATATCTGGATAGATATCTGTAGATATGATTAATGTCTGCAAACACGATCCAAATGGCACACAGAAAAACTCATCTTTTCCGCGTTCCAGAGCGAGGATGGATTTTCTGAAGAGTTCCCCCACGGCCGCACCCTTCGGTCCGGCCCCCGGTTCGTACAGTAGCCTAATACATATGCTTGTACATATACATATATCTTTATATACATACGCACTTACTCATTTATCTTCGGATTATCTGCTGGTGTCAGCACATGCGTACACATTCCTTCGTCTCGCTCAAGACCTTTCGTTACCGTGTATGCACTACTTCCTTCTGCATCTGGGGCAGAACGGCAGGTCGTGACGACAACGATAGAAAGAAAATTGCACAATCTTAGAGTTTGCTCAAGATTGCCCATCAAAGCTGAGCTCGGGCTCGCGCGCCCGACTCTCCGACAACGCGGGTAGCAGGGACTCCTGAAAAGGTCCATGGTCTGCTGCTTAAGCTGCAACGGGCTACTGATGGCAACCGTGAAAGCCCGGTGCTGAGCACACAGCCACAACCCATCGCTTGGTGCGGACAGGCTCCAGGTACATGATCGCATCCTGACACGAGCACCGGCGGTACATTGACGGATTGTTCTCTGCGAGAGCAAAACGATTTCTTCTCGTGCATACTGCAGTTACCTCCAGCACTTCTGGTTTCATGCTTGCTTGCTCCTTACCAAAAAAACATAAGCTTGGCTCTGCACGCTAGCTTCTACTGGCTTAAAGCTCAACGACTCCACCGAGCCACGTCGAACTCACTTCTGGGATCGAAAACAAGACCGGTTGGTTGCTTTCTGCTGCAAGACCCGCTCGATACGTTCAAAGTGATCAAGCGTGAACGATCCGTGTGCCCTTGGCAGTTGCTCTACGAACCGTTTGTTTTGGCGCAGGTGATGCGAATGTGGTCTCAGCTGCCTGCCAGTCACAATGACAAAGTGATGTCGCCAGATCTGCAGCATCCAGATTCAGCTCCCGCGAACCTTCATGAGGCCATCTCACCATCAGAATAGTGGAAGTCACGCACAGCGAGGCTTTGAAACGACACAAATACCACATGTGGCGGCCGTTGCGGAACTAACCCAGCCTCTCTGCAAAATCGCCGCAAGCAGATCCCATGCCACCAGCGGCTGCCTGCAGCGCAGAATGTTGGGGGACTCCTCTGGTCAACAGAAAGGACAACTAAACTACCGGACATGATCAGCCTCGTCTTCAAACATGCATTGAGGGTGACCTGGCACAAAATAGAAGCACGATCAACAGACAATCTAGAACAAGCATCACCGGGAGATGCGATGGACACTAGGATAAAACAAGCCTCTTGACTTTAACTTGTTTACGTAGCTTGGCTCTTCGCAAAGAAAAGAAATTGAGCGGTTTCCCTCTAGGCATGAGCCGTACTGCTCTGCGCTGTGCCGGTATGAGCTTCACCTCCAGAGTCTGGATGTGAAGCAACATGCCAGTCGCCTCTGCCTCGCAGCGATTCTTTGCCGTCTCCGCCCAAAACCCGGCCCGACCAGTCACGGCCTCGTGCAACAACGCCAGGGCGAGGCCTCAGAGACTCCCAGAGAAAAGATCTGGAAGCTTGTCTCTCGCGGTGAAATGCGGTGAACATCAGCAACTCTCACAAAGAACAACGACCCTGCTCCAGGCGGTCTTGAAGGAAGCAGCCAATTTGGTCTCAGGCTCCAGCTCCAGTGGCCCTGCATGCCAGCACTCGCGATGGCGAGATGGTACCTGGCAACTGCATCGAAAACCTTTACAGTGCAACTCTTCGCGGTTGACCTGCCAACTAGTTCTCCAAAACTTCTTACTGCTCCGCGACATTGACAGGGCCCGCAAGACATGCACGCTCAGATCGTTTTCGTACCGACTAACGCCGGCAGACTGCTCATGCTTAAAAACAGGGCAAGCAGACATTGCTCCGTACAGTCTTGGGGTACTGTGCAGTGTCCTTCTCCGCGGAAATGCGTTCAATCGCCGCAGCGGCTCTGACCGAGCCATCCTCTTGCTGCAGCTTCGTGGCGATTCGTTGGCAAGCTGCGCTGCAACTTTGTGCTGCCAGCAAGGCTGCCTTGCAGGCCTCAATACTCGGATTTAGTTCCAAAACACGCGATCCGAGACCAGCCCTTGCCACGAAGTCTGCATGCGGCACTTGATCAGCGAAAAGTGCTGAGAGCAGTGGGCAAACCACACAGGGCGTTCCGCTTCGGAAGCTATGCCACAGAGTCCCTGCACCGCCGTGGCAAACAGTAACACTCACTCTTGGCAGTAGCCAATCGAAGGGCACATACTCTATTTCGAAGACATCCTCCGATGTCGCCTGCCCATCACAAGGCATGGCGAAGGTGAAGTCCGTGGTCTCTGCCTGCCCTTCACGCTTCCCGTCATGGCACCAGATCACACTCTTGCCCAGCTGCCTCGCCGCCGCAATGATTACCTGGGTCAGGGAGTCGACAGTTGATGAGGGCCATGTCGGGCGAAATATGTCCACATCAGCTTGCATAAGGCATGTAATTATGTGACAGAGCAGTGAGGTGAGACACCAAAGTATGAAACAGTTCGGTATTTCGAGCAAGTAGGCGGCAGGATGGACAGATGTGCTGCTGCCAGCAGGATGAAAGCCTGCCTCATTCTGGAGATCCCGTTCCCTGTCTAAACTACTCTGTTTCAGTTGGCATCGCTGACACGGTCCTGCTATCATGTGAACTGGTAGGATGCACTGGCTTACCAGTGCCATCCCGAAAGAAACTTCTGCCACGACTGTCTGGGACCCAGTAGTGTTCCGCAAAGATCACATTGCGTGTATTACTGCAGTGACTGATGTGCACACACACACACAGGGACACGCACGCACAGTGCCTTCGCAAGTCTTTGGGAACCCATGACAGAGCCGAAGGTGACAGCGATGGGCAGGAGCCCAGAAGCATCCTTCTTCGACACGAACGCAGACAATGCCGCTGTGGGTTGCCATCCCTCGATGCGGGGAATGAAAACGCAGCCTGTGACTTCAAAGTTGACCGGGAAGTCCAGAGGACGCGGCATGATGCTTTCACTCCACAACCCCAGCTGAGGAAAACTCTGTAGCTTCCCGAAGAAGGAAAACCCATCTGTCTGGTCGACGTTCGGGATTTCGAGAAGACGTTGAGATGACCTTTGGATGAACTTGGCCTGTGCCACCAATGGTATCAAGTGACAGAAGTTGTAATGAAAGTGCTTCAGCTTGTTGAGGAATCCCCATGAAGCCATCTCGTAGCCACCGGGCGGATAGGCAGAAGTTGGTGGAGAACCAAAGCCAAAGGTAAAAGCGGTCCCGATATAGCTGAGGCCAGGACGTGCCAGCGCAATACGTGCACAGGCCTGCTATAGCGTGGGTGTAGTGTTACACAAGTTAAACACAAGTAAGCCGGCACAAGGATTAAGTTTCATAGGCAGGCCCAAACTGCGGCCAGTAGGCTCTAGGGCTAGGGTCCAAGGGACCGGGAGAAGAGGCCGGATGCTGCAATCCCTGCAATTCCTGTGTGTTTCTGTGGCCTATGGGCCTATGGGCCATCTCTCTCCGAGGACCGGCCTAGAGACCCAGTGAAGAAATGATCAAGATACAAAACTGCACCCATCGGCTGGGGTATTCGAAAATCCTTTACATGCGAAAACAAAACGCAAGCTAAGAAATGAAGGATACCTTTGCTGCACGCACCCCGGAAACGCTCAATATCCAGTTGATGCACTGCTAGTGCTAGTGTTTGACTTTTATCACGGGGGCTTCTAACCAGATTAGCAGCAGGCCACAATACGGGTGAGGAAGGTGGACAAAAGGACGTCGATCTTCTCCGAATCCACAAGCGCGGCGACGTCCCTCGCAGCTTCTGGGACTGCATCCTCATGGAAAACATGCAGGCAATGTAGTTTGCTGTCTCGGCTATCGGTAAGATGGCAGAGAGTCCCAAGGAGCAGCTGACAAGCAGCTAGCATCTTGAGAAACATCTTGAAACTTCGCATTCGCATGTCTGTTACCTTTGCCGTGCCGTCCTCCGTGTTCCAGGTCGGACCATGCTTGTCCAAGATCTTAAGGATCTCAGTCGTGTCGAGCGACCGCATTACCTTGAGCTCCTGCCCCAGGATTCCCGCAGAAACGTGTCAAAGAAGTGTTGAGCAGCAACCGCAGTGCCTCCTCAGACATGATGGCCGAGTCATCTCGCCAGCGAAATTGGCTCTGCCCCACGGTAACACATCGAACCCCGTACCTGTGTGCCACAACAGGGAAAGAGCGCATTGTAAGATTGGCAATGAAACCTAGCTGGAGGCATTAACTTCCCGGTCCAACACACTCCAGCAACAGAAGCAGCTTCCGGTAAGCCTGCAGGTTTCGGCCTGGAAACAAAGAGCTGTAGCTAACAGTTGAAACAAAAAGCTAAACGTCGAGCTGGCTAGGGCTGGTAGTGAGAAAGCCTAAAGTCACGTCTACAGCCATCACTTAGCCAAGAGACGCATGTATCGAGGCTTCATGCCCCGGAGTCGCTGCGATTGTGGCCTTATGTCCTCGGTCTTCCAGGACTTTGCAGATGGGAATCGCTGGCATGACATCACCCCGAGAGCCCATGAAGAAGAACAGAACATTCTTCTTGCCGTTCTCGGCCATTGCGGGGCCGGAAAAAGCGAGGGAAGGGGCGTTCACCCAGTGCAGGCAGCCCTGCAAGCCGGTCCCGTTCTGACGCAGTGGTGGTGTTGCTGCTATTGCTGCTCTCCAACTACGTTGACATCTCACCGATCCAACCGTGTCGCGGCGACTGGGTGAGAGATGGTGAAGAAGATGACTGCCGAACATCCTGCAGAGGGCATTCATCAATCTGCAGATCAACGGGCATGGCTGTCGCTGTGGGCTTCTGTGATGGGTTCCAAGTTCCAAGAATAGCAGTTCAGCGATGCTTTGCGGGATGGCAAAAGGACGGATGCCGAGACAACTCGACTGCCCACCGCAGGGAAGGGCACAAAACAGGGCTTCCTGAAGTACAGCACTCCCCGACTACTCGGAGGAACTGCAATGTCGGCCGCCTCTGCTACTCAACAACCACACTTTCCATTCTCATGCCTGCAGAAGCTGCAAGCATTCTCGCCAGCGTCCACAACTGGCAAAAGCGTTTTGCAGCAGGGGATGAAGGGAGACTGCATCGCAAGCAGATACAGGTTTTGCGGTCATGGCAGCTACAAGAGGGAATCTTGGCTTGTCTCTAACGATGACAGCTCTGTACACACAAGCTCTCTGATGCACTGCAACATAGTCCAGAACTGAGCACCCAACGCTTCACATGCCCGCAAAGCTCCGTTGTAGCTGAAGGCCTTCCATTCAATCTATCACGGCATGGCATGGGCATAGAATCCTACGTCAACAATCAAAATTCCAAAGGCTGGGGCTTCCTGGCATAGCAAGGTAGAAGTGAATTGAGGAAGTGCCCTGCCACTCACGCGTTTGCTACTTGATGAGATGCTAGGTCGCCACGCCTTTGTATGCGCTGAAGCAAGCAATGCATGTTGCTGCTGTCCTCATCAACTTTGTGGTTTCCCGGCTTGTCCGGGGCGACATGCTGGTTGACACTGCTGCAAGTTGGCGCATTCCGGCACAGGCCTGCCCTCCATGGTGCGGCTGCATCTGCTGCTTTACACAATGCATGTTGGCATGGTCACGGTGTTGACGCGGCATGCACGGCCCAAGCAGGCAAAGCCGACTGCGAAATCATGCCAGCATAAGCCATGCTACTTGCAGCACGGTTTCGCCTTCCGAAACTACCTTGCCGCTCGAAGAAACTAGTAAACCTAGTTTCTAGTTTTCACGATTGAAGGACATTCCCTTCATGCAGAAGGCTTGGATTCAGATCTCTGATGCCCTGCGCCACACCCTCACCAGACGGCACTGCATCCAAGATGCTTCCTACCTGTCCTACCTATGAAGCTCAGACGACGCAGCACATGACTGAAAAGCGGACCGCAGTTGAATCGAATGTAAAGTCCTTTGGAGCTGGATCTACGTCCATGGTCTGGACCTTCCTTCTTGTCTCACGTACTGCAATCTATTTCGGATTGAGTTTCTTCATTAAGTCCTTCAAATTCTTTACACCCAAGCAGGCCTCGAACAACTGAAATTGATTTCGGGTTTCGGTGTTGTCGCATTTTGGTAGCGGCTTGGGTCAGCAATACTTTCTGAGTTTCTGAGATAGCCCGACAAACTTGTGATTGACTCTTCGCTTCTGTGTGCCCAATGATGTTTTAGCATAGTGTCTGGGCCGGGGTTGATTTGCAGTGCTTCTTGCAAGTCCACTTGAACGCTTGGGCGGAGGGCCCCTATCGCCCAGAAACACACTTTGCTGCATATTTACCCCGCCCCACCTGGGCTTCCAGTCGAAGTGGGTGCAGCAATGCGAGCAATTGTATCGCGAGAGCCCACTGCCTCATGGCAAACGGCGCACAATGCCTATCTGGAATAAGGAAGTTCTTGCGTTGATACGCGCAGGATTATGCACGGTGGCTACAAGGGCAGCAGTCTCCCGCAACTGGGTTCGCTATTCGAGGCGATGAGGAATTCCACAAGTTGAGACGATTCCTTCAGCCGTGAGCTGGGTCTTGACAAACCCTGCTTCCTAGGCATTGCTCGTTCCAGTGCTGGCTTACAGCCTCTGATCAGGCCCCAAGCAGCATCCGACCAGTTCAGAAACTTCTGAAGAGATTGCGACTGACACGCACTTTTGGGCTTGCAGGGACATCAGCGCCATGCAGTTTTCGAGGCATCGGCTCACCATAGGCAGCTGCTTCCAGAGCACCATTCAACGACCACTGGTCAGGACCTGAGAAACGACCCGGATTTTTTAATTGCCAGCTCTTGCCTCGTCTGTCTCGGCTCCCTGCTCACGGCATAATCTTTCATCGTTTTGAATGTCATCCTGGCAAGGTGGACGCAGCACTGCCCGATCAAAGAAGACGCGTCCGACCCCTCAATGATTCGACTGGCCATCTGGACTCGCTTTGCTGCTACATTATCCGGAGCGTGACTGATTCAAACCGCAACACAGACACAGACCAACCTGAGTTGGAGACTCAGAGTCAGAGAGAGAGAGAGAGACAGAGACACACACGGACACACGGAGACACGGAGACACGGAGACACGGAGACACGGAGACACGGAGACACGGACAGCGGACGGGCGGACGGACGGACTGACAGACAGACAGACACTACATCAGACCTCTTGATTGGAGATGTCGTCGGTGATGTGGCTCATGTTCTTTGCCTCTTGTGTTCGGCTGCATCTGCATTTCTGATTTGAATGGGACTCGAGGCTTTCTTAAACATGACTGCACAAACTGCACAAACATGAGTGCAAACGTTTCCCAAGCTGCCACAACGTATCACATGGACAACTCTTTGCAGGTGCACGAGAGTGATCGATTCTCGATTCCCACTCATGTCCACAGCTTCGTTGCATGAGGTAAGACATCAATGCCACATGTCCCTGCTTCTGCAATCGAAATCTACCACCGTTACAGTCTACTAGCCCTTTGTTACAGGGATGACGCACACACACGTGCACACACACACACACCACTTCACCGAATCTAGGTCTTTGCTGTCAGAGCCTTGAAACTGTTCTATTCGGAGCTTCACTCAAACGAGACGGGGTTGCAGAGCATGTTGCCACTGCTCAGATTGTCCACATGCAGATATCACAGCCTGAGACTGCTAAAAGATCGGTCAAAAGATCGGTCAGCACATTCCGACATTCCGTAAGGCTTGGACGTTCAAACTTGAGAGTGTAGGAAGAACCTTGCAAATCCAACGAAGCCACAACACCGGCAAACCAGCAGCCACTTAAACAGACTTCACGAAAGCAATGCCTGGCTCCCCTTCATGTCTTCCAGAAGCTCGAGAGAATGTTGCCAGCGCCTCACTCGTTGCGTATGCTCGTGTGGGTCTTGTTGACCGTGACATGTGCCGACGGGGTGCTTCACCCTCCTGCACGCGCTGATGGCCGCAGTGTAAGCCACGCTGTCGGGCGAGACCTGACTCTCCTCAACAGACATAGAAACGAATCAAGATTCGATTCGATGCATTGAAATCTCTGTGACAAGCAGGAGCACCCCCCGGTTGGAAAGGAGCTTCGACACATGAGTTGGTCTCCTTCATGTCCGCAAAGAAAAAGAGTGCCGCCTTCCACAGGCTTCTGGATCCCAAAAACGAAGTCAGAATGCTGTACCTGTCAGCTACGTTGAGTCTGCTCTTCTACTTGCTGATCAGTCCAGTGTAAGTGTGGAGCACTCTTTGCATGTCAGGTCGAAACCGTAGTTGAAGCGGAGCCTGGAGATGATCCCAAGGGCCTGTGCAACCATGACTGAAGGCTCGCTTGGCTGGCACTCTCGCACTCTCGGCCTCATCACCTTCAACTCTGGAGCTCAGCAGCTTGTCGAAGGCTTGCTGCTGGCAGGGGCAAGTCCCAGAATCCGAAGCTTCATGCACCCGGCTACACGTAAGGCTCCAAGCTGAGCGCCTGACTCTCCATTCCCTAGCTGGCAACCCGCGGTCCTGCATCGTGAGGCCACAACATATCGGGACCATGATGATTTGAAACAGGATTCTTGGGTATGGCATAGTATTGTATGATTACGAATCATACAGGGATACTGTCGTATGTATTCCGGTTCTGTGTAGTCGCGCTCAACAAACAGACTTTAACCCTTGAAACCCTCAAGCTCTGAACCTCAGCCCCTGATACGTACTAAACCCGCAAAGGTAACAATACAAAATGCACCCATACCTCGACATTTCACAATCACACATGCACACTGGCAACCCAAACCCAACCTAAACCTCAAACTTTAATCCCAATGCAAACACATAGACATGACATGAGTGTTTAAACATCTATGTGTATACGAATGTATACATACATACACGAACACACTTTTGGGATTGCGGCAAGAGCAAAAGGGCAAGCAAAGAAGACGGGAGAGGCGGGGTTGTTGTTCGCTGTTGCACACACGCGACGGCTGCTGTAAACTGTTTTGGAAACAACAGCGAGGATAATCAATGCGCAGCGAAGATTCCAGATGCTTTTTGCGTTTTTCATCATTCGGCAATTACACAAGGATGCGTGCACCTTTGCTTCCAAACGCACTAACTTGTTGGCTCTGGTCCCAATAGTCTCCCAAAGCCTCCTGCATTACGAAGCGGCAAATAACTGTAAAAATGACACTCTTTTCCCATGTGCGAAGGAAGTTCACACCCACACAGAGCCCCACAAACGTGGGGCACGCCTGCAGAGATTACTGATGCAGCCTGTCCACATCTTGCTGTCTGCGTAAATGCGTGATGTGGCAACGTACCGAACTGTCAAACGGTCAGTTCCTCTCTCTCATGTGCTTGTGGCCGGCTTTGCCGGCAAAAAGCATTGGATTACTGCATGTACGCTGAAGGTAGAAGAAGTGCACTTGAGGGCACCGATTGGCGCATCGTGACTGCTGTGCGTGTGCGATGGTTGCGACACACGGTCGACAAACCTCTGTAGTAATCTGATGTGACACTAATGTAGTGTCGCAGGCAACACCAATCGACTATAAGCCCATGTCGTCCTCATCGGATTGTTCCCGACTAGCATGTCCTTGTGGCACTGTAAGGCGGTGAGTCGCCTAACGGACGGACGTTGGTGTTGTACTGGATGTAGTTGACTTCACGGGTGTAGTTTCGCCCTTGATATCGTAGATCGCAGCCCATACGGTGAGCTGTATGTAGAACTGCAAGAGGTACTGTAGCGGTAGCACCGAAAAGTTGTGGTTGCTCGGAATTGCTTCCACGCTGCTCCCGGCTAGAGCAGGCCTGGTTTGATTAAAAAATGGCTGCGGTAGTTGCATGTGGACCCACATGCCATCGCATGCACCCGTCCGCATACTGATCTGTTTTGTCAGCAGAGGCTTATTCGGCTGAGTTGGTTGCGGGTTCCTGCACCAAAGTAAATGGTTCTAGCGTAGAGGAGAGGTAAGGCAAATCTGTGGGTTTTTCGGTGCGTGCAATCATGCCGTGGTCGTACCAGTAGTTCCCGAAGTTGAGCGGGTAGTCGTTGTTGCAAGAAGTGTGGCGACTGACGCAACGATGGTAGATGAGCCACTCGTTGTAAGTTGTGTGCGATATAAGGTAATAGGACCGAACCATATTGAGGTATTGCTTGTTGGCGGCTATGAGTGCCGCGATCACCCGAGGCTCGATGGCGTAGTCAAGTAAGCCGTAATGTTGTCATGATCCAACCTCAGAGTCTGCAGGTTGCGTCGGGTGATCTGCCTGAAGGTGCTGACGCAGATCTGGTTGTCACAACTCCTTATGATTGGCCCTGCTATGTAGTTGGAAACCGCTTCCACGCTCCATATAGTGCTCTGTGTGAACGGAGGAAGCCATAATTGTACATCGACTTTGCAACTGCATGTGTGGTTGCACCGCTGTCTTGCTTTTGACCAGATGACTGCGGAATGCAGAGTGTCTCCACTATTCGTACTCACAGCACATGTCTTTGCACTTTGTTCTCTTGGCACCGGTGTCAGCTGTCTCACTGAAAGTCAACTGCGTTTCCGCGCACTATCACTGCGATTACGCAAATGCTGCTTCAGCAATCGTGTTGGGTCTTCAGCAAGACTTCAGCCTATTGTTGATTCCGAACACGTCCTGTGTCTCCTTGAGGCTGAGGTTCGCGATGTTCCGCGCGCGACGACTGTGGACTCGTAGGAGCTGGAGAAGGTCTGCCTGGGGGCGCACGATCGTCTCGGTGAGGATGACTTCTCATTTGCTACCGGTAGGAACTGCTGTCGAAGCGGCGGCGCGTAAGGTGGTTCCACCGGCGCATCGGTGCTTCGTTCACTTGAATGCAGTTCAGACTGCGAATGCCACTGCTGGTGCCTGCACATGGGTGACACTGGTTGCTGCTTGAGGGAAACGCCTGTGTTGTGAAAATGCTGGCTGCTGCAATAGGACTTTGAAGTCGCCAGTCTCAGGCGGTGGCTCTGGCGCTCTCACAGGTGCCCGCGCAGAAGCCTCACTCGCGAGTAACTGCCCTTGCCGGCAATATACTCTCTCGCAGGCGCTCTTACAGGTGTTTTCACAGGTACAGTCCTTCTTGGAGCCCAGGTGTCCTGCAGGTGCCTCGATGGTGCCCTCACTCACTTGGACTAGCTCGGAATGTGAGTGCTTCGGTGTGGATACATGACTGCATGGTATCGAAGATTGCTGGCGGCTGTAACAGTTACAAACTAAACTGACACAATTGGAAGTGGTAAGTAGAATTGACCTCATGGCCTGCGTGCCACCCCCACTGGTCTGGGATGCGTACGATGCCCTTTTGACCCGCGATGAGGGCTTCGCGCCGTGTGTCTCTGTAATCAATCTTGTAATGTTGAAACCTGGCGTGCTGTCTGCCACGATATGTAGCGTGCGTTCATTAACTTCGACCGGTGTGGCTGATCCGTAGACCACCGTAGACCACTATTGCTGGAATCTCAGAGTTGTTTGCAGAAAATGTAGTCTGGATGCTTGTGGGTCGGCCCAAGCCTTCCGATAGACTCCGTAGACTGCCGGACGTTGATTGCATGTCTGCGCCGTGGTGGCAGCACACGTAGTTGTGAGCGGGTTCCCGCGTGTTGTTGCCGAGGGTCCAAAAGGAAGGCGTCCTTCGCCCTTCCACGGCACATACAGGATAGCAAGCACCCCATCGGAAATATCCATGACGGTGGCGCTATTTATAGCCTCGCGTGTTCCGGATGCGCATATGGCATGCGCTCAATAAGATATGTGGTTGATCTTGACGCTGGTTCTGTCAGACATCTCAGCGAGTGTGTGCGCCAGCTTGTTGAACTCGTCAAGATCAACTGTGCGTGGTGCAACTCTGTCTGGCCGTCTGATCTCCACGCACGGTGCGACAATGCTCTGGGGTGACAGCCGGTCGGTCCGTATGTCGTTGGAATGCGATGCCTGTAGACGTTGCTGTCTCCTGTTCTCGTGTGGGAGTTTGCCGCTGTGTCACTGCCTGGTTTGCCACGCAGCGAAACTGGTTTTGTAATCGTTCGGTCCATTTGCGACGTGACTGCGTTGGTGGTGGCCGGGGCAGCGGCGGCGGCGGTGGTGGTAGTGGCGGCGGCGGTGGTGGTGGCGGGGAGCCATGTTGTTGTGCTTTTTGTATGTGGCTGTACTCGCTGATGCCTGATAGTGTCGCGTTGTCCGCTGCGGCTGCGTGACGCTGTTCGTTGGCGCGGCTGTGAGGTGGTACTCGTCGGCATCGTGTGCTCCGGCGTCCGGCGGTGGCTTGTTCCGGTACCGCGTTGTGATCGGCGGTGGCCCTGTGGGAGTGGCGTCGCACGGTGAATTGCGTGGCTCGGGTTGACTGGGTATGCTGCGTCAGCCGAATGATGTCTTCGTGGCGCTGACAAGTAAATGCCCAAAATGCGTGATACTAGGGTGTAGGCTGATCAGTTGCGCGCCTTGAGTCTGATGTTGCGGCGGGCAGCGCCGTCATCGAGCTGCTCATGTCCAGTTGCGCGTACGGTCTTGGAACTTGCATCTGGAGTTGCTGCTGCCCAGGGGCCCAGGTGACATCAAGTTGGGGTTGTGGTGTGGCACGCGCGGCTGCATCTGCGGAGACATCTGATACCCGTAAGGGTGCATAGCAGCACGCCGCCGCCGCAGTGTGCAATCCGGCCAACAGCGTCAAGTATAAACAAGGGAGAAGGAGCTGGACCGCTATTGGTCGACTTGGGGAAGAGATGACGTGACACCGAATTAATTTTCTAATTCGCTTTGGGAGGAGCAATGCATTAGACCAAAGATATTGCACCTGCACTCAAGCAAACTCACACGCACTTGCAGTCTCTGAGAAAAGATGTCATGCTGCACGAGTGGCTTGCACGTTCTGCACTGTGTTGAGAATATCTTCTGCTCTAGACGGTCGAGAGTACACCTGTAGCGAACTTGTTTTCAAACCCGAGCGTGCAGTACGACTTGTAGCTGCAGGAAATTCTCCTTGGTTAAGGTGGCTAGTACGCAGCCGTACTCTTGATCTTCCAACAGGTCTTCTGCTGTTGCGCTGGACATGGCATGCCCCCTACAATGTCCCTACAATTAATGGCTGGCGATGCAGTTGCCTGACCTGACTGTAAAAACATGTGAGCAAGTTCTGTCCATCAAGGTACTGGTGTGCCCGATAAGGCACATGTCTGCATGTGACAGTCTGCAGGAACATGCTCACTTGTCAAAGACCGAGGCACGTGCTGCGGTCAATCTGGAAGTGAACTATCAGGGCTGCTGCGTGCACTCAGCTGATGAGCGCCGAGCCGAGGAGCAGCTGTTCCCTGGCGCTTTCCTGATCTTGTTGGTCAAGACGTACAGTCCATGTCCGAGCGAAGGTCACTCCGCTGAAGATGTGCTGTAGAGTCGATCTGACATGTGTCTGAGCCGCACACGTCTGCAGACGTCGACTTTTGCATTGGCAGCCGCTGGATCATATCCCGCGTCCTTCATCTGTCTCTGCTACGGCTGTGTCATTGCGACGGCACCCTTCTATACAACTGTCGCCGCACTGTATTTGCAGGATCCGTCAGGGTTTGTCACTGATCCTGTGGCTTCTCTGGTTTGGACGGCACGTATTGTACTAATTTGAGTGTTGATGAAAACCTGCCTTTGGGCTGTACAGAAGTGGACTTGTGGCCGTGTTTTCTCAGAAAGTCGAGAACGAGTTCTGCCCGTCGAGGTATGGAAACTGACTCATCAAGCTGGTTTGAGTCCTGCAGGTTTGCGCAAAGAACGACCTCAACAAACTTCCGGATTTCCTATATTCCTCGGGGCTTCTGTTGTGACGCTGATCGCCGTGAATGCTCTACCCCGTTCACTGGATCCGATGAAGAAGAACTCGTTGCTCCTGTAGCCGGCTTCTTTCGCTTGGTGACACTTGGTAGCAGTTTGGGTTGCCTTCGCTAGAGGAATGACCCGAAGCGATGTCCGACATGTCTACCAACTGCTAAAACCCATTGTCACGTCAATCGTGTCCGCGAGTTGGTCAGTGAGTGGAATCACCAGCGTCTTCGGAGTGGCTCTCAGCAATGTCCGATATGTCCACCAGCTGATCAGAGTGAGGGATCTGATTCCTCATGTTTTCAGCTTCAGATGCAGAACCGATGTTGCCAAACTTGTCCTCCGACTCGTGTAGAAGGTCTGAATCAGAATCTGGTTGGGGAACTTGCCTTGTATGTGCCATGATGTCCAAAATGCAGGCGACTCAGGCGTCTGCGTTCTCCTCGAACAATTCTCACTACTTCGAAGAATACGGGAGCGAGGTCTCGGCAGACGTGTTGCAGGCTGAATGTGTTGTCGGGGTCGAGATATAGGAACATCCGAGCACTTGAGCTCTAATGATCTCGGATCGCCACGCTCTGACGTCCAAACTTTCCCAGAAGCCAGGCTAGCAACAGCCTGCGAAACGGAAGTGGCGGTCTCTGCAGCCTTCTATCCATCCCAGGGTTCCGTGAAGGGCGTTCGTTGCTGCACACAAGCGACGGCTGCTGCAAACTGTCTTCGAAATAGCAGCGAGGATGATCAACCCACAGCGAATATACTAGATACTTTTTACGTCCTTCATCTCTCGGCAGGTACACAAGGATGCATCCATGCTTGCTTCACAAGCAATCACTAATTGGGCATTTTCGTTGGCTCTGGTCCCAGTTAGGCTCGCAGAGCCCCTTGAAAACGAAACACCGGACAACTGCCGGAGTGACCCTCTCTTTCCATCAGCTCAGGAAGTTCACACACACACACACACACCTGTGGGATTTCGGCAAGAGCAAGAGGCAAGCAGAGAAGAGGGGTGAGGTGGGCTTGTTGTTGACTGTCATGCGAGCTGGCTGCAGAGAATATGCTTGTACAGCGACGACATCACAGGATAGCACCATGGACAGCTGGTATGAGTCAGATGTCACAAACTTCATTGCAGGCACGTTCCAGGACGTCTCCCGAGAATATCAGCATGTGCAAAGGCCCTCTTCGTTGGGTTGGCGACCGATGCACATGTCCAGCCCCCATTCAGTGCTCAACGGTAGACACATGTAGGAGTGACACTCTTCTCCAATGTGCTAGGGAAGTTCACGCACACACATGCATACATATACCGTACCCATGTATAAATATGTATATATTATATATCTATATGTTTATTTGTGAGTGACAACTGTGACATTTGCCTCAATAGTTGCACAAACAGCCGTATATACACATACACATCTGCACACATTTGCCTCTCACACACACCCGAAACCTGGAGTCAAGAGGCCAATGCTAATGCACCTGAAGCCCAGGCATACCCGAGATTACAGTTCTCATGGCTATCCGCATGGCAGAGTTGTGCCATAGCTTGTCCTAGAATCACAATGAGAAGGAATACTCATCGTGACAACTCGTTTGCTTTTGTAGCAGACGCTAACCCTTACCTAAACCCTGGACCCTGATCCCGGACATGAAAGTATGCCCATGGCAGCTCGCAAGACAACACGGCCGTACCCCAAGGCCCGAGAAGGCACGTTTCTACATAACAGCTACTGCACTGTGTTTACATGAAGGCAAGCTAAATCCAAGTATGTACATACGTGGATAGACAGACAAGGAAGTAGGTAGGTGGAGAGGTAGGTAGCTAGATGGGTAGATAAACAGACAGGTAGCCAGGCAGGTCGGTAGCTATGAAAGAAAGAAATGTGGACAGCTTGCTTATATAGATAGTAGGTAGACAGACATTCCGAAAGCAATTGCACTGTACGGAAGCTGGGCTTCTGGGGTACGAAGTGGGGACAGATCCTCAATAACAGGCGCAGAACAAAACATGACAGTAAACCCCGCAAACGATCAACCCGAAACGAGTGCAAACTGCAAATCGTCCTGAAGCCATAACCGCACGACCCATAGAATCTCCTGTTGGACACCTTGAGTTTAGGATTTGTGACGGGTTTGTGATGGTTTGTGTACCTTTGGTTACTGTCGGCAGACTCGACAGCAATCCCAAGAGTTCAACACCGCCCAGGCTTTAGCCTTTGACTCACACGCAGCTGGCCCAGTGCTCCTCCTCCAGATCGGCTGGGGCTTGCGCTTGCCTCGCAGCTCTCCGATTCCCCCAGAAAAGGTGAAGGTGGAAGTAAGCGCCCGAGCTAGCTGCAGGACTTTGCTTTTGGGCTTCAGCATCGGTGTGGAAGCACCAAATGCCAGCTCCTCTCCAGTGCAGACAGATTTACGGCACGCCTGGCGAGTCAAGTGCGTAGCTAGGCAAATATCGATCTGGTCAGGTATGAATCTGATGGTCTGATGTGCCGATCACACCCGCCGATCACACCCTTGCACCTTGGCACGTACCTTTGGTGCTGAAGCCCTTTTGATTTCGTGCTTCGCTCTCGGGCCTGCGCCTTGTGCTGTCTCCCAAGCGTGCTCCTAGCAGCGGCGGCATCCGGCCCTGACAGGTGCCAGAACGCCGAGAGCGGCTGCAACCGAAGCCTGGCCTTGGCACGCAGCTATTGCCTGACAGCGCACACACGTAGACAAACGCTTGACAGACTCGCTCTGTCACGTGCCCGCCCCTAAAATCATTGTGTTATTCAGGCAACACGAGTGGTTTGGTGCGTCCAACTTGCTTCCTACGCAGCAGGTCGGCTCGGTAGATCGATTGCTTGTCAACATGTCGGCTTTTCTTTGAAGGTTCAACAGCGGCCAGGAGAGCTAGCACATCCAACTGAAAGGAACTTGCAAGCGGGTACCTCGCGCATCGTGGCCGCATCGACAGCGAAACCCAAGCCTGCCGAACTGCAAATGCGCGCAGGCAGACCATGTCTGCCACAGTGCTTCCATCCGCACATAATGTGACTGGTGCTGCCACCAGTGTGGTATGTGTTCTGGTGTATAAACACCGTGCATTTTGAGCTCATGCGGCGGTCTCGGGAGCATGGGTGTGCACCTCCATGGTTCATTGGACTGCCAGGTACTGTTTAACTGTTTGGGGTCCATGCTGGCAGAATAAGTTTGAACAAACCAAACAGGTACGGCACGGACCAAGGAACCACGAGGAAGGCCTTTAGGGACCTTAAGCAATGCACAGGCAAAAATGACACCACCCCAAGATACACATGGGTTGGACTCTCGCGAATAGGACAACGCCCGGTGGAAAGTGCTAGAACTTACAATGAATCACGTGTCCGCCGGGCCCAGGAGACTGTGGAAAGTGCGGGAGACATGAACCGTGGGGCGCGCCTCTGTGACCCAACCACTCCCCTTAAACTCTGAACATCTCTGAACATAAGAACCCCATGGTGGTATGAAAAACGCATCACACCAGCAAAACAAGGGTTACCACAAGCTTGCGCACAAAAGTCAGATCAACTCCACGACAGATGTCGAAGCTTCCGTGCAGCATCAAGGTTTGCCAGAGTTCAGACTTCTTTCCTGGTGACTCTTTCGCCGTTTTGATTCACAGTGTAAGACATCAACTCGAAACTCCGCATTTTGGATACCCGGCCTGCAAGATTAGCTAGAAGCTGGCATGCCCAGCGCCTTGGATCTTGCTACAGAATGAAGGGCCACAAGCCGCGGGCGGCTGAAATCGCAGCAGACTTGACGATGGCAATTCTGTTTGGTTTGCATCCGCACATGACAAAATGCACAAATTGGCACAGAAGTTGGCATTTCAACCTTCGCACGGACCACGAGGGTCTTGGTTCTCAGTGTGGAGGCTGCTGGTGACAGCTGACATCCAGAAAACACGTCAACTCAGTCTTGCACCACTGATGTGCTTTCCGACAGCTGCTCAACGCTTTGCGGAAACCTGGCGCAACTGGCGGGGTGTTTCAGCGCTGGGTAAACGATTCATTTGATCTCGCACATGTACTGTTATGATTCGATGTCTCAGTGAGCGCAACAAGTAACAAACGGTAACAAACACGCCGAGGATGCAAGCAACATCTGGAATCACAATTGGCTGAGAATTCCTTGGTGAAAGACTCTGAGCTGGAAAAAAAACTTGTAGATCAGCTGACCGCATTCTGCTTGGTTGAAACCCAGCAGAAAAGCCTGGAATCTCCTCTGCCACGATGATGCAAGACAGTTGGTGTTCCGAGTTCGTCCACAAGCTGCTGTCCACTCAGCACAAGGCTGAAGTAGCCAAACCGCCCATGACCATGCACCAACCTGGTTTGCTGCTACCGTGATAGTTGGCGCACTGCATGCCTCTTGAAGACAACATAATGCTGCATCGCGAATGACTTGAAGCGGATCTGCTGCATCTGCACACAATCAGAAAATCCGCTTAACCAATTTGCAATTGCCTCTTCGCAAGCGAACAGCACCGCGTTGAGAGCAATCTCATCTGGTAACACCTTGCCATCAAAGCTCTAAAGCTCTTGGCGACCAAGCTAGGCAGCAAAACGCATTTTCCCAGCTCGTCCCTCTAGTAGGTGCGCAAGAGACTTGCCTGACGTTGCGGCATAGCCAGGTATAACCTGACAGCATCCTCCCACCTTAGCTACATGACCAGCATGCAGACAGCACTCTTCTCGAAAGTGATTGAAAACACGACGTGGCAAATTCAGCGGTACATGCGAGTAGAGTCCACACGGAAGCACCAGCGGACTCCACAGTTCGTCGAGGGTCCAACTGCCGCCGGCGTGCGTTCGACCGCAACACGGCTGCGTAAGCCTGCGACCAGGAAATAAATATACCCAGTTGTTGAGCTGGCAAGAATACGTGCATTCACATACAAGCACAGACATACGAAAACACAACACAAGTATTCCAAGTCCGTCTGCCGAAAAACAGAAACACAACCCTGATATTCAGATAAAACATGCATCCTTCGGCAAGCACGCACCTGTGTATCCTCATGGCCTCATGGCATGTTTCGACTTACATCATGTAACAATCTGTGCTGCACGGTGCTCCTGTGTATTGTCCAGCCATCGGGAGCGTTCCACCAAGTTGACCTTCGCAAGACATCATGAATCATTACTAGTTCGTAAACGACTGACCGAAGTTTTCGGGATGTAACTTCGCCCATGCCATTGATGCTCCGCGGCCCAATGAGCACATCTCTCCGAGGAAAAGTGCACGAGATTGCAATTTCTGATGACCGGACCTGCAACTTGACTTACTTGACTTATCGACACATGCGCACTCTGCTCACATGCAATGCTCATGCTTCGGAAGTTGACCCAACGTCAATGCCTCAATGTACGATAAACATGAAAACAAAACCTCGTAAAATCCTTCGAACCAATGCAAATGTTGGATTCCATGAACTGATTCCGATCTTCATGGTCTACACTCTCCAAAGCGTGAACGGTAAATACGGGGCCGCAAGATCAAAGCAAGCAGCAAACGCAACGTTGACCTTCGCTCTCATGAAAACATCGACGAATTGACATGTTTTAAAACTTCTTTTCAAGCTGCTTCTCAAAAAAACAAACATCTCTCCACTTTTCAACAAATTGCTTGCTACTGCCTTTCTCTGCAATCTAAAACAATCAGAACAGAGTCTCAAAAAATACAACTCAGAATGTGAGCAATTCTTATACGAAGACTTTTTGACTTTGGCTTAAGACCTCTTGTCTTTTTTTTTTGAATAAAGTGAGTAGATTGGGCCCCAACTCACTTGCTAGAGGTTGCCTAGCAACAAAGTGGCCATCCATGCCGTAACCCGGGCACAATGTTTGCGCGGCGTAATAAGAGGCGGTCTTGAAGAGACTTAAAGAGGGTTTGAAGGGAGCGAAGGTGAACTTGAAGGAAGGAAAAAGTCCATCTGAATTAATTTTAGCACTTCAAAGTTTTCTTTGAAAGCCTACTACTCCGTCGTAGCGAAGCCAGCAACGCGAATTATTAAAAGCACGCAAAACCGCATTGCATTTTTTTTTCCAAGTTTGGACTAAAACCACTGTCAGTCTTCTTGTGGACTTAACTTTTTACCGACCATTCATTTCTGGGCGTCTTATCAGTCTCATTTTCAGCCACTTCTCGTGGAAGGAACGCAGAGCGGTCAGCCTTTGCAACTTATCGGGCTTGTGGTCGCTCTGACACTTACACGCTGACTTGCCATGCCCTGGTCCACCACTGCCTTGAAGCTGCCAGTATGAGCCATTGCGCGACCCATGCATTGCGGGAAGCGGGGCGATGAACTTGCCATTGCGCGACCCTGAAATCTGGGAAGCGGAGCATCTGAGCGGCTGATGTTATGAGGCTGGTAATGAACTGCTGAACGACCTTTTCCGACTAAGACTGTAAATCGCAGCATGTTTCCATTTCAGACCAGATCCACCAAACTAAAACAGATCGTACAAGAGCGGAGGAATTTCGGAGAAGGCATCTCCAGCACATCTGAACAGGATTTCTCGAGCTTTGCAGAGTTATGGTATCGAGA